AAAAACTGCGAGGAACTATGCAAAAAACGCATCTTCGCACGGGCAGCCCGTGCGTTGGCCAATTATAATAAATACTATTAGCCCCGCAAGGCCAGGTGCCACGTACGGACGCCTTAAAAAAACATGCAAATTTTTTGGCACGGAAGCGATCGCGGAAATCAGACAAATTAGTGAGCTGTAGCTTCGCATGTGTATTCTCTCTGCATGTGCGAGCTAAAGATTTCAAATTCAGTCCCTACTTGTTCGTAGTTCTCCCAAACGCGCAAGTGAAACGTATGGCGGGAAAATTACTAACTTGGCAACCAAGAAAGCAGGAAGGCTGAAATTTCAAGAGGATGTTCCCCGTCAACGTACAATTTAAAGATTTCCAGTTCGGCACTCCAGGTACGTGAAACACTCACGTTCGGGTACGCGGAAACTTTGGCGAGGAAATAATTAACTCGGGAACCAGAAAAGCTAGAAAGCTGAAATTTTACAGTAATGTTTCCTGCTTAAGTACAACTTAAATGTCTTAAACTCGGCCTCCAGGTAAGCATGGTTCTCACGTAGGAGCATTTAAAAGTTTCGGCGGGGAAATTGCCCCCTGAACAGCTATGTTATTTTCAAAGAACGGCCGTTATAAACTGTTTGTTTATTTCATGCAAAATTTGTAATTTACGATAATGAGTGCAAAGGTATGTGTAAAGCAATAACCATTCAGGCACTTAACGACCTGAATACTTCAAGTTTAGTGCAAAAACGCATGATCGCACCGGCAAGTTTGGTGCATTTTAGCCTGGGTTTTTCATGCGAAACTTACGATAAATATGGATGCCGGAGTTTAAGATTTCACGCAGCCCATGATATAAAATTATTGTCGCAGCACGACAAGCCTAGTGCCCCGCTACCTCTGTTCATATTTCATCAGTGATGCAAAAACGCATAAAAAGAGGAATATGAGCAGAAAATAAGTAGTTGTGATGTTACGATGGTAAAGTAATACGTGGAAAGAGTAAGTATGCAAGTAGTTCTTACCCCAATCGGCTCGACAGAACTGTTCATCATCAGCTTGTTGGGCGCATGAACAGCCGAACAAAACCACAATAAAGTGTGTGGATAGAATGACTGTTGTCACAAACAGTTTCCATAATCTCATTTTAATGTTGTTTGCTGCAAGTAAAAAAAAAAAGTTGATTCTAGAAATTCATCAGAACTTACCACAGTAGTTGCGAAACTAAAACATACGGGCAGACAAAAGACAAAAAGCCAGACATACATACACAAATAATCTTGCTTTAACGCATTTTTGTGTTGTAATATAGGAGTGATGCCGTTTCCCTTTGTTTCTGCAAAGGTTGGTGAAAAGCCACTGTGGTTTTTCATAATATTGGTTTTTCGTTCTAGTCGAAAACGCCTGATATTTCCAAACTGCATTTATCAGTCATTTTTCCAGTAAAATAACCTTTCAGAAAATCTCGACCAGGATTTTCATAGGGGTGGTCGATAGCGAACTAAGCAATGCAGAGACATGACAGTGTACAAATCTTAAAATTCCTTGTCAAAAAAACACTGTGTCTAACTTTGACCGGCTAAGCTTGGGCGGTACAAACTAAGAAGACTCGCTGATGATGGTGCAGTAAAAATCATGCAGCTACGCGTAGAACGCTAAATGAATCCTATACGACGCAGCATGGGAGCAGCACGAAATGAAGTAAATAATAAAGCCCCGAAACGCTTTTCAGCTCTAATATACTGCATCAGATCGGCAGTCGGACATCAAGGAGCTGCTAGGAATCTTCGGTGTGGAAGTTGTCGCCGTACGGCCTGGCTGTTCCAACGCGCACCTACATAGCTCGCTGTCGAAGGAAGAACTTGCGAAATAATTTTTCCAGGTGTGACAAACATAGCAAGGAAAAACATATCGTACTTTGCAAAAATGGTAAAACGACTCTGCCTGGCAAGGAAGTAAGGCAGAAAGACACTAAAAAAAGTCGCATTTATCGTCAGCAGAAAGTGGACTTCGCAAATCATTTCCTATTAGAAATATGATTTTTTTCTGTCAGTGTAACCTGTCGTGAATTGGCGCACTCCTTAGATAAAATTCCAGCAAAATCCTTCAAAATTAGCTATGTTATGTTTCCATCATGGCCAACAACGCTAGTGAAATTGAAAAGTTCGAATGAGCTCAAATTCGCCCTGACCTCAAGTTTACGTACGCGACTGGCTTTCAATAGGCCAGAGAAGCATACAGTTTGTGCGAACCATTCGAGGCTGCAGAATATCATGCACTACGCTTTCCTGAAGCAAATATTCAAATGTCCAAGTAGTGAAACGGACAGGGTATCTAAGACGAAGCAGAGCTGCTCGTTGACGTTTTTTACAAAAGCCTAACGGTAAAAATTACTGAGATTGTAATGAGAAGGAATGGAATAAGCACTAGTGAACTAAAGCTCCTCTGAGTGGACTCTGGCTCCGGTGCATTGATATGACCGAATTTACGATCTGGTTGCAAAAAATGCAGAAAAAACAACTATACTAGCGATAATTTTTAAGAAAAAAGAAAAACAAACTTAATTAATGACGAAAAATACGGTTCCGGACTCAGGTTTCATAAAAATCAGTTTTCACTTCGTAGCGATAAATCGGCGCAATAGGATTTATAATGAATATGTTATGAACGCTTCCTTTTCTCAGAGTGAAATTGGGCAAAAACAGTTCTGCGTCAGAAAAGTGTGCACACTGTTTTTGCTTTGTTGAGATGCTTTGTGCGAAAGGATACCAAAGTCGTTCGGAACTGGTGAAATGAAACGCAGCAGAGAAGTGTGAAAGAGATGAAAGAATTACTGTGCTTCATATTTTTGGGAATGAGTAGATTGATCTTGGTAACAGGTAAGCAGAAAACGCATGAAAATGTGACGAATTGCGAGCATGGAATCTTGCTATTTGAAAGTGAGTTACGTCGCCAGCCAGTTTCTGTGTTGCTGGCAACCTGAAGGTGACTAATGGACCATAAAAGAACACAATTTTGCTGACTCAGTGTCCTCATCATATTTCTTTCAGCGAATCGATTAGTAAAAAAAGTTCTGGTTTTGTCATTTTACAAATATTCTGACCCAGCTATGTCGATTAAAAAACAGTAAAGGTATGCAGGAAGCTGTCACCTAACAAAAAGCAATGAAGGTACATGGAAAAGTGGCATCTAACAGGTTAGTTATTGACCAGCTGAACAGTTTAATTACTCAGCACTGAAAATCTAAACACAAAAGAACTGGAAGTTAAAACAGCAAGAAGGATTTTCGAATGATGTTGAAAGTTCTCGACCATGAAGCCCAGGAAATTCGTAGTTCAAATTCTTCCAGCTTTTTGAAAATAGCAAACATGCACGGGCACACACACACATCAGCCGACACGAAGTAGTTGTTCATAGCGCGTTCTTTAACATATAATAGTGAGTGGGTTGTAGCTGGTTTTCCAATGCACAGCATATAAATCTAAATGACCTCTAAGTGATTTTTTTAGCATTGACTTTTGCTTCGATTTTGGAAAAAATGCACTTTAAAGGGGTCGTTCTTGCTGAAACAGACAGTCGCAGCTGCACCAAGAGTCTACATTTTCAGACAGTATTTTCAGAAAGCCTAGCAGAACTCACCAATTCGAATGAATTATTCTCAAAAAAAAAGAAACATGTTGTAACCTTGATTAAAAGAATTCGTGAATGGTGCTGCGGACTGAGCAATAGCAGCTGACAGACAATAATTTGGAGTTCCTTATTAGACGTTTGCGATCGTTTTCCTATATATTTCCAATTTTATCAAGATTTCATGCAAAAATCATGCAAAGAGTAAATAAAAACAATATTTTTTGCCGCATCTTTCTGACAGGGAAAAGCGTAGCAAAAAAGCTGTTACGCTAAGGATCTCAAGGAACTGATTTGAAAGTGTTAAAATTTTGGGTGCTTGTAAGACGCTAAACAAGAAATATGCTTACATGCAAATTTGTACACATTGCTACCGGTTTAAATAACAAAATTCAGTGCAACAGATCAGTATTTCTTTTGACTACCACGAAGGGGGCGTTCGACTGGTTCCTCTGCGGCTAACTTTTCGGAAGGCAATCGGTCGGAAGGAGGCGTCGAAGCATCGATCCCTGCAGCGGCGATCTTTTTAATTTCGAAGGCAACGACAGGAGATCTATAAGGAACGCGAGCAGAGGTCTCTAAGTGATGGGTGCAGCTGTAATCCTTTTGCTGCTTATAATTGTTGGGCTCGGTGTTGCATATCATATGGGAATCTTGGAACCATACATCAAGGAAGCGCAAGCACGACTGAAGCAAGGAGGCGGTGGCGGCGGAGGAGGAGTTGAGCACTAAGAAAATGGGGACTAATTCGTCGTTTCGCGAATTATGCCGAAGATTCGACGTATTTTGAAGAACAAAAAGAAACGAGAAAAAGGATCCATTGGTCGCCAGTTGTCATCGATACTGATTATGCTTGCCTCTAATTGTACTGATGCGAATGACTGATATTATGTGCACCGCTTTATTTAATAAAGTATTTGGGTATTCTGAGTGCCTGCTGTACACACATCGTTTTTGATACATCTTTCTTTAACAGCAAATCGCAGTTTCATCTAACCACGTGCATTCGTCGTCCACCCACGCAACTAAAAACCTGCTCTCCTCAAGCGCTGTAATGACCTGAAGCGGAACTGCTGAGATAGTGTAGTTTTGTACTCATCCTGTCTCATCTTTGACTAGTCTTACATTACGGATTCTGTACTCCACTTTCAAACCTTTACTTTCTTATAATTCGGTGTCAGAAGTTGGTAAAAGTTAGATAGGCTACTGTTAATTCACTTGTTAGTTAACGGTCTTTGCTGAATATTCAAACAGCATGTGAGATTTAAGTGGTAGCGCAAAAAAAAGACCTAAATTCCTCCAGGACAAAAAACAAACCTTTAATTTTTATTAAAATACAGAGGTAAACTCCTAAATCATTCTCGAAATATTTCGCCTCATTGTCGGAATCGGCAGTTTTATTTTGTGCCATCTCTAAGACAACTGCAGAGCTTTTTATAAAATCATCAAGGTACGTAAATGCGAAAACACATGCTGTTGATTCAGTGTGCATTTATGTATGTGTGTAATTACGCATGTTTGCAGACGTGTATGTTCGTGCCTGTCTGTCAATATTACACATGTCTTTACATCCACTCGGATATTTCAGAGGTGCAGAACTACGAATGTTAGGAAATTGGAATTCTAGGCTTATAATTCACGACCGTGTGCAAAACCACAGACCTTAATTTTATTTCGTTTTGTAACCAGAATTAAGACCTCTGGTCCAAATTTGATCAAATTCTACCGAAAACAAACAATGCAAAAAACTAAGCTTTAGTGACCAATTAACCAAAAAAAGCTGGGGAAAAATGAAAAGAGCTTTCGTACCTATAACTGGTCTGCAACACCAAATCCAGATTCAGTTTAATGATTCCAAATGGAACGAATAAACCTAGGCTACAGCGCAGCAGACCTGCCGGTGCGATCACGCATTTTTGTGATAAAATTTAAAGCAGTCTGATCGTTAATTGTATGAAAAGTTTTTGCTTTACAATTAGCTAGATTGTACGTGCACTTTTCGTGTTTCCCTCTAGTTGTTCGTACGTGAGACCTAAGCGTAAATGAACTTCGGCATTAAAATGGGAAAATAAGAGTATAATGGGAGCGTATGGAATGGAATCTACTCCTAAAATTTTTTTTTTTCGCTTTCTAACTCGTCGGTGTCTGAGGTGAAATAAGTAACAAAGTTGACTAACCCCACACACACACGCAGACAATCTTTGACAATATACATTTTTACACTCGCATAAGTTTGCAAAAACTCAAAAAAGTCAAATTCACATCATTTTGGCTACCAAGATCGATTTAGCGTGCGGCCACATTTATACAAAGCTTATTAATGCCTCCATTATAATAAACTAAAGTTTCGAGTGTGTTTTCAACATAAACGTTCATAAAACCGGACTAACTTTGCAAATCAAACAGCTTAGTGATTTCCAAAGCAGAAGCTATTATTACAGCATTAGGGGACTGCTATTGATGCAAACAGAGCAGAAACATTAGAATTTACGAATAAGCTGTAGAGTGTTGGTGAAATGTTCCCGTCGAAAATGACGGATTAGTTGGCAGTAACACAGTAATAATGTAAATGAACAAATCTGGAAACAAAAATAAAAATTAAATATCGAAACGAGCAGCACCAGCATCACTCTGCTACTCCAGAATACAGTGCAAACTGGCATGCTGCCACGGCTACTCATTTACACTATTCTACTTGTGCTTACGCCGAATTTTACAGATGCTCAAGACGGTTAGTATGCAGTCTTCTACTCTAAAATTTTACAGTTCAGAAACTAATGGAGATTATCATTGGCAGTCTCGGTTGCGTGTTAGTCCAGATTCCTAAGACTAAGAATTTTCAATATCAATATTTTGACGACAGGTTGATAATGTAATGGGATACAAGAGGGATGCATATTACTGGGCCCTATTTATTCTTTAACCAGGCTGGAGCGCACCGGGCGGGCCCATGCGATTATACATTTTTGCACTGGACTTGAAGTACTCAGGTCATTAACTGCACGAATGATTGTTGCCTTACACCAACCTTTTGCGGTCACTAACATAAGTCATCATAAATTTTGCGTAAAGTAAATGTACAATTTCCATTCAACGGCCATCCTTTAAAAATAATGTAGACGTAGCTGCTCAGTTAGAAATTTTTCCGCCAAAACTTTTAAATTGCCAGCACATAAGAACCACGCACATCTCAAGGCTGAATTTGAAATGCTTAAATGTATTTGGACAGGGAACATTCCCCTAAAATTTCAGTTCCCTAGCTTTTCTGCAATTTTCCCGCCAAAAACTTCATACTCTTTTATGTGAGTACCACGCATACCTGGGGGACTGAATTTGAAATCCTTAGCTCACACATGCACAAGGAGCATCCCTGCAAAGTTTCAGCCCCTTACCTTTTCTGTTTCCTGAGATCGCTTTCCCGCCCAAAAATTTGCATACTTTTTTAAAGCGTCCGTACTTGGCACCCAGGTGTCCGCGGAGGATGATATTAAAACGGGAGGGCCGCGCATGGTATGGGCACATACTTCCAAAGTTTCAGCCTTCTAGCTTGTCTGGTTCTCGATTTAAAAGTGGGTGACAAAAAGTGCAAATACGCAGACATACACACACACACACACACA